CACTTTTCAAGGCTGTCTCAGTTTTTTAACATTAAGATGTCCACGTGCTTTAAGTAAAAGCATTTTTTGACTAGAAATCCTGGACTATATCACGGGACTTCATTTACATCTTGAGGGACAGATAGTTGATCATTACGTTGTAGCAGATCTTATGTGTGTTCTGTTGCTTGTAACTTTTGCTATCAAGGAAGATATATGTCACTTTTCAAGGCTGTCTCAGTTTTTTAACATTAAGATGTCCACGTGCTTTAAGTAAAAGCATTTTTTGACTAGAAATCCTGGACTATATCACGGGACTTCATTTACATCTTGAGGGACAGATAGTTGATCATTACGTTGTAGCAGATCTTATGTGTGTTCTGTTGCTTGTAACTTTTGCTATCAAGGAAGATATAATATAATTTGTTTAGTTCTCCTTGGTTGCATTTAATACAAAGCCACTTAGATAAATTAAGTTAGCAATATAATAGGACAATTATAATAGACATGTGTGAACTGTTTCTAACTTTTAACATATATAAAAGATGTATTGCGCAAACTTTCATATTCTTAAGATCCATGTCAAGCAACTAATGAAGTCAATTAGTTAATTAATGGCACATGAAGCCATTGAGTTCAATTTTCCATTCATTCAAAATTCTAGAATTATTTATGTGACCAAACTATATAACTAGCAAACCTTAAGCAAAAAAAGTACCAGGCCTCCAATTAGCTCATGGTGTAGCTGGGAATTTTTTTAGTGAAATGATGACATAAGTACCCGTAAAACTATGTTAAAAAAGCAGTAATAGCTTCATAACTATTTAAGTAGTCAATTATCTTAAATGATTGGATATATGACCAGCACCAAATATTCAAAAGTATGTTAAAATTTGAACTTTTATGTTAAAATTTGAACTTTCTGGTGCGAAATAAAGCCAACCCAGCAACTAAATTTATTTACAATTAGGAATGTGATGGCATTCTGAACAGAAATCCAGTCATCAATGTTCAACAAATCTAAGAAATTCAACTGACTGATTCCTTGATATTCTAGATAAACTAGCAGGTAACTGATAACAAAAAGTCAATGATCCAGGATAAATGAAATTTGAAACATGTGATCCAAAAAGGAAGAACACGATCCAAAATTCAATCAATTTGGCCGAAATCATTGTAGCAGAACAATACAGAAAAAATGATGACACATACACAACAAGCATGATGGGCAGAGAAAGTTACCAAGCTTTGTTCCAACAAGGACTATTGGAACCCCTGGAGCATAGTGCTTTAGTTCAGGAATCCACTGAAACATAACAAGAACAAGATATAAGACAATATACTATCATCAATTAGTAAATAAAATGAGTGGAATACAATAAAACAAAGAAAGACATGCCATCTCAAACCTTCTTTGAAACATTTTCATAGCTGGCCTTACTGATAAGAGAGAATGCCAGGAGAAAAACGTCAGCTCCACGGTAGCTCAAGGGTCTTAATCTATTGTAATCCTCTTGGCCTGTTCCAATAAAAGAATATATACAATTAAATCAAATGAACTTTGAATTTACCTGCACGTGTGCATGTAGAAATAAGGGGAAAGGAATGAGGAAGACTAGAAAGGTGAGCATATACCTGCAGTATCCCACAAACCTAAGTTAACTGTGTTGCCATCCACCACCACATTTGCACTGAAATTGTCAAACACAGTTGGTACATAATCCTGTATTCCAAAATACATATGTGGATGTGAAATCTATAAAGATACTAGTAGTAAGTCGTAAAAGTGAATGGGCGCAATCTGGGGAAAATAGGAACCAGTGTGTTCTTTTATCAAAATTGAGCACAGAACATTGAAGTAACAAAAATGTACAATCTTTTAGCATCCCTAACCCTATCTTTAGATTCACATAGAGAACGAGGGAGGGAGGGAGAGTGAGGGAGGAGAGGGGAAAAAAGACTTTGAAATTTTCAAATGATGATGTTAAGATCAACAAGTAGTGGGTCATAAAAAACAAACACTCTAGAGATGGGCGCATAATCTTCGGAAATAATTTGAACCCATCATGTTTATAACAGTTTTTTTTTTTTGAGAAAATGTTTATAACAAAATTGATCACATAGAATTGAACCAACATGAATGCACAATCCTTTAGTATTCTCCAAACTAACCTTTGGATTCTCAGAGAAAGATGATAAAAATGTCTATAATTTATGGTAAGATAAACAATTTTTTTTGAGAATAAGTAAGATAAACAATTATCGTCAAATTTTTCTAATTTCCTTCACCTATCCAGGACCCAAACATATAAGCCTCAAGCAAAATAAAAATTTTACTTAGAATCCCTCAAGCAAAATCAAAATTTTACTTAGAATCCAGATGCAAATAGATTCCTATTCCTTTTAAAACATTCGCTATATGAAAAAAAAATCTAGATATCCCAATCAGGCACAATATTTGAACCAAAAAACCCACATTATTCCTCATTTAGAGGGAAATTTGCTACTCAAATCAAACAAAAACGGAAACTTTCAACTAATCCAGGTGATTTGACAATGCAAATGCTTAGTTTCCCGAAACAGCAAGCCCAGACAACGTCAAACCCTAAAATGAGAGCAAATTGACGGAAAAAAGAACAGAAATTTAACGGAGAAACTCACGGTGGGGAAGGTGTTGCTGGTGTACGAAATGAGCATGCAGGTCTTGCCGACGGCGCCGTCGCCGACCGTCACGCACTTTATAAACCTCGACGCGCTCATCTCCTCCTCTGCCCCTTTTCACAAAAAAGCCCCCTCCTTTCCTCTCAATTTCACAATATCACCGCAAACTGAAGCCTCAGATGAGATCTCTCCTCTCTTTTTCTCCTCGTGACTTTTGCAAAAAAAAAGGAGGAGAAAATAAAAATTAGGTTTTTTTTTCTCCCTCGGTGAGAGAGAAGAGAGGGTTGCGGTTGAAGCGGTCCCTGCGCTTGACGCCCCATCATTGACGCGGAGCTTATTTATTATGTATATAAAAAGTAATTAATTAATTAATTATTATTTGGTAGTAAATTGACTTTAGTGATTATTAAATGTTTTTTTTAAAGGAATAGGGAAATGTAGGAATTTAAGTATGAGGACAGCTCACATCTTTTTGTGCTTAGCTCAGCCCCTTAAAATTTTCAATCCAAATGTAGACGCCCACCTAACAAAATGCCATCCACCATTTTTTCCATTGGTTTCTTTGTGTTTGTTTGTGAAAATTAATGAGGCAACGCCTCATACAACCGAATATATTCCCTTACCTCAAACCCTACCCGTTTACCTGTTTACCCAAAGACAAAGCAAGTCCGTTACTAAAAAATTACAACGTCAGAGTCTAGTATTTAATCCAAAAGGACAGGTTACTTCACTTAAAAATAGTATACATACATGAGCAAGAATAATAAATTGAAGTGAAGTTAAAAAATAAATACATGCTGGCATAGGGTAATAAGAATATATAAAAGATAAATTGAAGTGAAGTTATACTTGATGAAGTTAGAACCGAACAAACCGAACCGAACCGCACCGAACCGATTTGCAATGGTTCGGTTCGGTTTTGAATTGTAGGTGGTTCGGTTCGGTTGTTCAAAATTTGGTAAAAACCGACCCGAACCGAACCGTGCTCACCCCTATCCAATATGAACAATTTTTCAAAACAGACCCTTTTAGAGTTTTATTTTTCAAAATCGACCGGTTTTTTTTATCAAAACCGACCCGATTTTGTGATTAACAGCCTAATCACCATTCTAAATAGTGGGGGTTGCCAACCCCGACTATTTAGGAGGGTGTTAAATCCTAATTAGAGATCTTAAACATTAAAATTAAGGTCCTAAATAGTCGGGGTTGCCAACCCCAACTATTTAGGAAGGTGATTAGCCGGTTAATCACAAAATCGGGTTGGTTTTGATAAAAAAAAACCAGTCGATTTTGAAAAAAAAAACTCTAAATGGGGCTGTTTTGAAAAAATGTTCCATACAATATTGTATGCATGCATGCATTTAGAATACATTATCTACGAAGCAACGAAACGAGAGCATGAACTGTCAGATCATCTTGCTAATGCGATTCCGTGAAAATACCAAGAGATAGACTAACCATGAGATTGTCATATCAGCTACCGTTGGGAGGCTACTAATGAAGAGGAAGGGAAAGAAGAGAAGGGTAAATAAGATGAAGGAAAAGAAAGGAACGAATGGAAAACTGTAATAAATATTTTTATGTCCTGTCTTTGTTTACTTTATCTAGAAAAATTCTTTAAGGACCTAAAATATGGGACCAATAGGAGGGACAAGTGAGGTGTCCCTCTCCTATTGGATAATGAGTTGACCATCATTAATGATGGTCAACTCATTATCCAATAGGAGAGGGACACCTCACTTGTCCCCACTATTGGTCTCATATTTTGGGTGCCTGTAGCAAAGCTCCTTTATCTATTGCAAATCTTGAAGGCGGATCCGGGTTTGGATCCGATAAAGTAGTTGTCGGATCCTGAACCTAAAAAGGCTATAAACCCTAGGGTTTATCATGCGCCTGTCCTTTCATTAGCGCGCGCGGCATAACGGATTCGAAGAAGAATAAAAAGGGCGCCAAATCTCAAAACCCTAATTCGAAGAAGAATAAGAACAAGAAGGATCCATCTCCAGAACTCGCTGAAGATGTCGACATCGAAGAAGAAGGAGAGCTGGAGCCGGACATCGAAGATGCAGAAGAACAAAGCCGAGGGACTCCGAGGATGAAGGATCCGATGCCTCTTCTGACGTCAATCCGTGCACCGACGACGATATCTACAAAGACAGCAGCAGTGGCGTGAATAAAACCTGTCTCCATTTCTTTGTAATTTAGCTGATTTTGTCGTTTAAGGTCTCGGTTAGCGTTAGGGTTTTGATTTTGTTTTGGGGTTTTTGCAGAGGAGATTTGAGATTCTGGGTCTGAATCGGACGAGAGCGATTTAGAGGCGAAGTCTAGGGCGATAGGCGAGGAGAAGGCGAGAGAGGAAGAGGAAGAGGAAGCTGAAGATGAACTGAAGCTTAATATAAAGGAAGAGCCTGATGAGTTTAGATTACCTACAAAAAAGGTAATTTTTATGTTTTTTCTGCCTTTGTAGCTGAAGTTTTAGTTGGAAGTTGTCTGAGGATTTTTTTTAATGGTAAAAGATCATTTTTTTTCATCTGTAAATATCAATTGGATATGTGATTAGCAGTGACAATTTAAGTTTGCCTTATTAAGCTTTAGAGGTTGGGGAAGCACGGGAAATTATTAGGAGATCACTGACTTCAAGAAAGCATTGTAAGCTCAGGATCTGCTTTAAATAAACGAAAAGTCTTAAAGCCTGTTGCATGTCAGTGAGACTGCAGCTAATCAAATTACTCGAGTTTCATATCTGTTACTATGTGCTGAAAAGAGGCAAATGGTCATCAATGTTTTACTTCTTACGAAGATCAAGCCTAAGAAAGACGAAGACTAATCACTAAAGTATGAAGATATGATGTGAGCAACATATAGAGGGGACATCTCATTTTTAATTTCTTCTTTCAGTGTGTGAGCCTGTGAATAGGTGTAGTGGCATGGGCAAGAGGCATAATCTGGGGGAAAAACTCGGGGGAAATGGTAATCCAAGATTTCGTTTGAATGATTAGGAAAATGTTGTAATTGTGACAGGAGTTCGAAGAAGAGCAGCATCAACCACCAAACCTGCCTAGACTCCAGCGAAGAAGAATGAAAGAGAGTATGTAGAACACTACATCTTTACATCCACCGCCCAAACATAAAATAAAGTTTGCTTTGTTGTACTTTCTAAGTGGATCTAGCTCTTGCGCTCAATGTTTGTGACAGTGGTTAAGTATTATGGATTCACTTTCATGTAGTTGTCACTGTAGTTGTCACTGTGCTCTCAAACTTCAAAAAATTGAGACAAGATGGTGCTCAACAGAAAGATCATGTGCAGCAGAGCAGCTAAAGGCGGACCTAAGTTCTTATTATGGCTGCAATGATTTTCTCATTTGGGCTTTTGTTGAGGTAGTGAGACACTTGATATATTGGTTTTATTTTTCCAGTTTTCTTTCTGATATTATCTTATCCTACTTTGGCACGCCTGTTTCCTGTACAGATGTTTCCCACTGCAGAGCTTGTCGAACTCTTGGAAGCTATGTAGGAGAGCTGACCTGAATGCTTGCGGACAAATACTTTAAAGGTACCGTACCGGTATCTATTTCCTCTCATTAACACAATTTTGAAAATATGTTACGCTAGATGTTGTCAGTTTTTATTGACGTGTTTTCCTTATTTTGTGTGACAAAGCCTTTATCCCAACTTTTTGTGGTCAGCTACATGATCCTATTCTTCTATTTGGTTCTATTTTGGGTCTTCTCCTTTGTTAAGTTAATTGTTATCTTATCCTTCTTAATTGACTACCAATCATGTCAGTATGTAACAAATTATGCTCTGCTTAATAATTGGAAAATCTTTTTCATCAAAGCTTATAGAATTTAGGTTACTACTGAAACATACTAGATTTGAGAATAAATTGGTTCTACCTTTTGAAGTAAAGGCTGGCAATTGTCTAATTGTCTTCTTGACTAATTTTAGTTGTCGGCTGTACACTTGAAGACAGGAACTGGCTGGTGTTCTGATAAATAGAGGTGTTAACCTTGATCCTATAGGCAAGTGGTCAAAGGTAAATTTCCTTAACACTTTCTTCATTGTTAATATGGTAAGCAGCATGAGTCCTGCATAACATAAAGCCCGATATATGAAATATAAACAACAGGTTAAATTAGTTGTATATGAGTCCCTAGTTCCTGTTGGTGCAACCCCTGAGTATATGGCTGGGCATTACATGGTATTAGAGTTACATATGTAATTTTTAGTCACTTTTGATTTTATAGTTGTTTAGTCTACCCAGATTACATTGTTGTACTTTAATATTCATTTTATGTCAATCTGCAGCTACAAGGGGCAAGCTCTTTCATACCTGTTATGGCGCTTGCTCCACAGGAGAAAGAGCTGGTTGTCGATATGGCGTAAGATTTTGTTGTCATATGGTTGATGTGCTTATTTTGGACTTTCTTCATTAAGTAATATTACAGTTCTTTATCTTTTTGTTACGTGGAACCAAGTTGGGAATAGTGCTTGCAGATGCTTTCATGATTTACAATTTATTACTTTCTCTCAAATCTTTCTACAGTTAAAGAAGATGAGTAATACAAAACCAGCAGTATCTGAACCTTCTAAACAAGCAGATAAGATGGAACAAGCAGAAGTTATTGATGACAGTAAGGATGCTCAAATGGACAACCCAAATTGAGAAGTTGCAAGTAAAGGAAAAAGGAGAGGAAAAAGGAAAACACCAAGGGTGCTGGGAAAAAAAGACGGGAAGGTACTATTGTACTTGATCACATTATACGTTTTCTATTCTCTATAAACTCTGCTGATTGTTGATAATTTAGGATTGAAGTTTAACTATTTTATTAAAACTGTCGACAGTTGAAGGCAAGCAATTCAGAACCAGCAAGAAGTGAATCCTTGGCTCTACCAGAAAAGAGAAAAGCAACAGTAGTTCATGATGATGGCGATGTCGCCAAAAATATCCCCAATGAGAAAATCAGTAAGAGTAAATCCTGGGAAAAGGGTAGGCGACCTAGGGATAGTGATAATAAGAGCGTTGCAGGAAAAAATGGAAGGGAAATACCTTCATCAACAGTCGGATCAAAAATGAAACGGAAGTTACCTTCAAGAGAGGAGGGGATTTTACAAGCTAGGTGAGCCGTTTAACATCTTAAGCCACCATTTTTAGGAAAAATAAATGGTTGTTTGGATTGACAACTTGTCTTTTCTAAAATAACAATTTGCCATTATGGTATTTCTTTTTTTTCCTGCTTTTCTTGTAATATATTTCTAAAATTTTTAAATTTTGTTTTTGTAATCTTGCAGAGAAGGGAAAAGGAAAGTATTGAAGAAGAGAAAGGTTTGATTAGTTGAATCAACTAATGTTGACCAACAGTTGCTCACAGTTGAATGCTTTTGACTTGCATACGTTATTTCACTGGAGCCTGGAGGATCCCATGCAAATACTGTGGAGGTGATTAATATGCCTCGTGCAATTTTGATCCATTTGAGTTTTATTTGTATCTCTGTTAATTTATTTAATGACTAAAAAGAATATCATGTTTGTTCTGTGATTCACTTGCTTTGATTTTTATTCTGATCTCTGTTAATTATGTCTGATTTATTCTTTCATCTATCTAACATGATTTCTCCTCTGGAACCTGCAGTCCATTAAAAGCCTTTGAGATGCTCAGGTGTTGCTCTAATCATTGTATGTTGTTTGCACTAGTTTCATTCTTACATGATATTTATGTACTTAACTTCTTTTACCTTGTTCCTAGTTGCTTGTCATCAAATGTCAAATTTGTTCATCTAATCCTAAAATTTGTAATAAAAAATTTACTTTATAAAGTGAAAATTAACAAAAAAAAACTTCTATAATATTTTTTTTTTAAATGAGAAACCTCCACGAGCATTGAAACCCATAACTAGCTAGATACATAATGGTTCGTGAAAATATTTGTATTTGAGAAAATATCCATATACATGTCCTTTATGAATATTGTTTTAAAATCTATAATTGATGGGATGCGGTTTACTTGTATTTATATTGGAATATGTATAGGTTATATTGTTGGCATAGTTTTTAATATTTAGATTAATATGTTTGAGGTTAATTTTGATGATCAATATATATCTAACTTTAGCTTTTCAACTATAACAAACATAATAATGAAATCTCTTGTATCACATGAACTATATATTTTTTAATATTATCTAGTTTTCTCGTATTCGTTTTTATATTTGCGTGCATATTTGCTTATATATTTGCATGCATATTCATACTCGAATTTTCTTTGAAGTAAAATACTATCAAAAGATATATTATATACCTCCCTGAATAACTCGTATTCAATTTTAACGGACATAGATATAAATTTTTCTTACCGAGATAAATTCGTACTTGTATTCGTGACTGGTAAGCAGAGAGCCAGATATAGTAAATATCACACCCAAGCCTTATGTAACCCAATAGATACATAATCAATAACCTGAGACATAAGCTCTAGACGTACTCTTCCAGCCAAAATATAGCTACTTTAAATCGTTAACCGTATATGGCCAAATGATGATCAACCTTAATTGCGTCCCTATGCACAAATTCCATTGATAAACCACAAACATGGGACCCAAAAACCATTTTGTAAAGAAAAATGCCTTAAGGGATCCAAAAATATGGGATCCTACATGGGACAGGTGAGGCGTCGGCTCTGTTTATGAACAGTGCATCATGGGATAGGGAGCCGATGCCACAGGTGAACAGTGCATCATGGGACAGGGAGCCGACGACTCACATGTCCTATGTAGGCCCCATGTTTTTTGGTCCTTGTAGCACCACCCTTTTGTAAAATGGGTTGTGTGTAAAACCTTATCTCGGCCTTGGCCCAAACCAAAACAAATTGGATTTAAAAGAAAAAAGCTAGGTTGGTGTCATCACTCATGAGTCTGTTCCTAACTCTTATCCTTATTTTTTCACTAATTTTTTTTTTCCTATCAATTTTTTTTAAAGGCTTTCTATCTGCATTTGATAACGTTCACTGCGCAAAATTTAAAGAATTCAGTAGGCGGCGTTATTCTATTTACAACCGTACAGTTTCATAACCTTGGATCCAAACCCAAAACATATTAAATCCAACACGAGTTTTGTTTGGTAGCGTGGTGTCGGAGGAATCCGAGGCTTCTCCACACGTGTTTTGCCTCGTGTGCCGTAGACGCACGCTGTACAACACACGAGAAACAAACGCGCACGTCAACGTATTTGGTAACTAAAAAATTGATGAACACTTAATTATGTATTTACATACATATCCAATTAAAAATTCGAATAATTTCTTTATATACTTTTTGGACAAATTTTCAAAACCGACCCATTTGGGTTTTTAATTGCAAAAATCGACCCATTTTAATTTTAATTATAAAAACCGACCCAGTTGGTTGAAACTGGGTCGGTTTTTGAAATTTTTTTTCTCAAACTTCAAGGGAGTTCAACTCCCGTGAAGTTTTGTTATGAGAAAAAACTTCACGGGAGTTGAACTCCCGTGAAGTTTCCCGAAAAAATTTAAAAAAACCGACCTGTTTTCAGTCAACAGGTCGGTTTTTGTAAATATTTTCAAAACCGGTCGTTTTTTGTAATTAAAAACACAAATGAGTCGGTTTTGAAAATTTGTCCTATACTTTTTTATAAATAATCTTTGAAATACATTAAACAAGAAAAATTTATGTTCATTCTAGGATTGGTTATGATGATCCATTTAACTTTTGAATTGAATCCGGTGTTTTGAACAAACATATCAGTATTTTAACAGAACATCATATTTATATCTTATAATGGCCGTTTATTATTCGATCTCTAGTTTTTATTAACAAATTAGATTAACAACTCTTTAAGCAGTTAAAATATTATACATTACAATATGATCAATGACTACTTTGATATGAGTTCAATAATGATTCAAATAACCAAAATTTGATTCAAGCTTGTGCTACTTTCATCAAAGAAGAGCAAAGGGAGAGAAAAGATAAGATGTTTTTTTTTCTAGTTTTTACACTCTAGTCTTTAATAAAAGATTACTTTCTATAGTTACAAGATTCGTTTTTACTAATTTCCAATTTTACACAAAAAAATCCACCTGCCTCTTTACTCCCCAAAATCCCGCAGGCTCCACTTGCGCCCTGTCCGCCGTTAACATTTCAACGGTGACGTCAGATCAGACGTTAACTGCGTGTCCCCACTCAGTCCACTACTGGATCATCCACCAATGGAAAACTGCCACGTATGCTCGAATCTCACGGTCGCTAGACCTCGTAATCGCTGCCGTTAGGGTTTCTGGCCCCAATTTATATTGCCTTCCTAATTGTGCGAACTCCAGTTGAAAATTTTGGCGGGCAGCTGCGCCAAAAAAATCAAGAAAGGAATTTTTTTGTTTAAATTAATTTTGGCTCCGACCCGCTCGCTGCCCTAATTTCTCTCTCTCGATTCGGCTCCATCCCTTCTCTATTATTTAACGATTTTTTTTTTTCAGATTTGCATCCATTATTCTCCATTTCGAGGTAAGTGCTCTTGTTTGTTCTGTTGTGTTTTAATCAGTGAGATATTTTTCGTAATCATCTGTTCTTGCTATTAATTTCAATTTGTAGATTGTGATTCGAATGATAAGGATTGTAATTTTTGTGAAGTGATAGATTGCTTGAATAGGATCCTTTTTTATGAAACTTTGATTCGCTGAAGCTGGAATTTTCGGAGAACTGTGTGATTTGGATCAAATTCGACCCAAAAGTTGTAGCTTTTGTATTATACTGATGCTCAGTGCTTTGGTCTTCTATGTTTATTTCCTTTGATTTAGTGTTTTAGAAGTTAGAAACTGGTAATGATTCATAATTCTAATGTTGATGATATGGCTTAGTTCTGAAATAAAAAATAAATTAAAAATAGAACAGTTTTATCTTTTGCATCATTTCTTTCTGCTCTTAGTCTTAATATGTAGGTTTTGATTTGAATGGTTGGTTCTTTTAGTATACTTAGTTGGCGGCTCTGTTCTTTCATATATACTATTTTGTCTTGTATTAACTATGATATTCTTCATTAAGATAAAAAACTAGACCAAATCAGATACAAGTTTTCTTTATCGGAACTAAGCCAAATCATTATAATAGTTAATAGACTACAATATTAATTTGGCTTAGTTCAGTTTTGATCTTTATGAAAAATTTGTCATAACATGGCTATTTCAAGTTTAATTTGTATAAATTATGAAGAAAACTGATTTGCTGTTCTTCCATGTCTTGTGTAAATTATCTGCTGATAATATACCAAATCTGATTGCTATCAACCTTTTCTGATGATATTTCAGATAGCTGAAATTCTAGGGAGTAGAACGGTGTTGGAGAACTAAAATATGGTTGTTGACCGGCATGGTGTTTGATTTATTTACCAACGAAAACAATAAAAGAAAACCCTCCATCCATGAATCCATGGCTTTCAAGCAAAAGAAACGAGTGAAGAGTTCCAGAAACAAGTATCTGAAGCCTGGTGCTCTTGCCCAGATTCGATATAGCAGAATGGCAACCAGGTCTTCCACGGATACAGGGAGAGAGGTTTTGTTGGAGACTGAAGATCAAAAGGTGGTCTTTTTTCATAAAGGAGAGCTCATAGAGGATCAAAAGGTGGACAGTTCTCATAAAAGAGAGCCCATAGAGGATCAAAAGGTGGACATATTTCAGAAAAGAGAGCTCACAGAGGATCAGAAGGTGAACATTTTTCATAAAGGAGAGCTTGTTGTTCATAATAGGACGCCTGCTGCATCTCCCAGTAGGACACAGTCAATAAACCTCCAGTCAGCAGGGAAACTGGGGGATGAAACTAAGCAACAAATGTTGCCAACTACACCTAAAACTCCAGATGCTGGATGTGAAAGTCAGTCAAGGCTTGAATCTCTTCCTATAGATTTGTTGGTATGCGATATTGTAAACATTGGTTGTATTATCAGTTTTGCTTATGAATTGGTTAACCATCATTGATTATCTTGATGTGAGTTTGTTTATTGTCTGTTGCAGGTTAAAATCCTATGCCACTTGCATCATGATCAACTACGAGCAGTTTTCCATGTTAGTCAGCGTGTTCGAATGGCTGTAAGTTCCCTCTCATCCTAATTTAGGCACTGCAATTGATTTAGGAAATTTGGATCCTGTTCAGTTTACTTGTAAGTTGTGAGGTTGAATTATGTTTCAAAAGAGACACCATTTATTTTACCTTTTATTCTACTTCCATATTTCTGGTGTGTTGGTTTTTCTCCTAATTTGATAGTGCGGAGTGGAGTGTGCTCAGTGGTGTCTTTCCTCTGTAACTAGTAGATACTTGGATGCTTCTCAGTTACCTTAGTGTTATTCTGTTTTCGATTAATCACTCCAATTTAATCTTAATATTCTTTTATTATGTTCCTTATGTTCAATTTTTCAATCTAAAAGCTTGTTGACACTTGGATACTCCATTTTTCTTATGAGGTATTGGTTACATTTATTTACTTTAATTGGGTAGTAGAAAGTGTCATCTTATTTGAGTCTGTTATGGCATAACATGACATGGATACATCACTTAGTAGTTAGTACATTTAATTGATTTCCTGAGATTATGTTTACACCAACAGTATGTAAATATAACTGACAATTAACATGTAAATAAATCAACACAAACTAAATGTAGGAGCTTCAAGCTTGTCAGAAGGGAATACCACTTGCTCATGTCACACAAAAAAATAAAATCGATATTGAAAAAAGCCTACTCTCTGCAACAGCTATGAACTTTATTCTTACTCTTTTAACCACACACAAAAAATGAACATAAGTTTTTAAAAGAGACTTCAGTTTCTATCATCATTCCTCTGCCTGCTTCTAGAAGGTTTTGTCTTAATCCTTTCTTTTAGGTTCACTAGTTGTATCTCGCTCACATGCTTACCTCAATCGGCTTAACTGCTAAATCTATTTATCTTAACTGTAACAGAACTGCAATTTCAACATCTCATGTCGATTAGGATAACAGAATGTTTCTCTACACTGTACATTGCCGCATCTATCCATAAAACCCCTTTCAGTTAATTGATTATGTACGTTACGCTAATCATTGTTCTCATTTACCAGGTTCTTGTAGCCAGGGAATGGTACTTCAATTATACAACACCTGATCGGTCCAGACAAGCAATGCTTAGAGCAAAAACTCCTCTTCCAACCGAACGCTGGCCTTTCATAAGGTATACCATACAAAAAGAACACAGCGTAGCTAGAATAGACTTAAAGAACACGTAGCTAGAATAAACTTAACTGGACTAAGAGCTCTATCTACCAACCTTTTCATCCGTTGGATTTATTTTGAGATTTGTGTTGGTGTTGATACAAATCAATACTAACTTTGAGATGCATGTCTTCATGTGCATCACCCACCAATACAAATTAAAAAAAACCAAGACAAAAAAAATTGGTGGACAAAGCTCTCAATCCACTTGAGTTTATTCTAGTTTTAATTTTCCTACTAGTTCATTTAAAAGTTTAATTGCGGATAGACCCCCTGTATCGTCGCTGTTTTGAACTTATCACCCATCTAGTTATATTGTTGCAGTTAGACTGTTGGAGTGATTTTTTTGCACTATTTCACCCTCATAGAAAGAAACAAATGTATTTTTGACAAATAAACTCCCTAAGAGTAAAAGAGTCAAAAAATAACTCAGGCAGTCTTTCTGCAACAATAAAACTAGAGAGCTAATAAGTTCAAAACAGCAATCCTACAGGGGTTTTATCCGCTATAACCCATTCATTATCCCTATCAATTTTCCTTAAATTTTCAGCATGAGAGATGGCAGGGGTATTCGAATTTCAAGCCCACATACACCAAAAGCTCCAAGGCAAGGGCGTCGTCCTTCTCGCCTTTATTCAACAGACATAAAACAAACCGCAGCTGCTCTTTTTAGGGATACTACATTCCTCTCCTCATACATTTCTCCATTATTTCCTCGGCCTGTTCTCAAGCCTGTGGCTTCTAATAGGGTTCTATTTTGTGAGGAGGAGTTGTGCAAGGCAGTGGCAAAGAATAAGCTTCGCTGAATAATTATTCGCTGGGAAATTACTCAGTGATCCCTTTTTTATATGTCACATATGTAAATGTCTTTTTGTTCCGTTTTGAAATGCATCTACTAGAGGATGCAGTTTTGGGTCTTCAAAGTGCTGCATTTAGGTGAAAGACTGCAGAATGATTTATCAGCTTATGATAAGTCTTTTTATGAGCTTCTATATGTTTGTATTTTGATCCTTGTATAGTTCTCTGTATGTATATTGAGTTGTGGTCTCTGATTTTCTTTGATATATCTAGTGCCTTGTGTTATCTGATTTTCTTTGGTTTCTTTGAATCTCTGGTGGGGATTATGACCGAACAAACAATGAATGCAGTTACATTTTGATGTCTGGAGATGAAATTTACTGACATTTGTGTTGTTTATTAAGACTCTACTTTGTGATAGATAGGGGTTCTATTCTGTGAGATTGAGTTGTGCCAAGGCAGCGGAAAATAATTAAGTTTTGCTGAATGATTATTCGTTCATAACAGTATTCAATTATCTCATTTTCCATATACCTAGTATATGTAAATGCCCTTTTTACTCTTTGAAACACATCTCTACTAGAGGACGCAGTTTTGGGTCTTTAAAATAATGTGTTTAGGTACTGAATGAATGTGCAAGTTGTAGTAAGAATTGCGAGCATAATTAACAACTTATAACCATTCTAATTATGAGTTTAATGTTTGTATAGTTCTATGTATGTATTTAGCATCCTGTTCTCTGATTTTCTTTGATTTCTCTGAATCTCTGGTGAGTTTTATGACTGAACAAATACAGACTACAGTTGCATTATGATATCCGGAGATTATTGAAGTTTTTGTTGTCTCTTAAAGGCGGAACTTTAATGGAGGTCCTAAATGTATTGACCAAATATCATTTGGATCCTTAATATTTGAAAGTCTTCAGTGATGGTCTCTAAAGTTACCTCCTTCATTGACATGTCAGCAAAAAAAATTAGTGAAAATTACCAGCTTGTTTTGAACTTGAACTTTCGCTAACTTTTTGCTAATGTGGCAATGATATGTTATTGCCACTTAAGCAAAATTTAATAGAAGTTTGTAAAAAGGATCCAGGTTGATGAGGGATGTAATGTTAGGGACTCCAGTGATGACTTCCAAATATTAATGACCCAAATCATATTTGGCTGATACATTAAGGACCTCCGCTAAACTTTTGCCCTTCTTAAACCTCTACTGTGTGATGTAATCTGATGAGATTAAGGTCTGCTATTCTTTGAAATTGGAGAATGAGCGTTGCTTACCGGTGGGGATAAAGTTCTATTGCAAATATCATATTAGCTAGCCTATTGGATTTGAGACCCTTGCCTTTATCTGGATGCAAACTATGTAGCAAGATGGTATAGCATATGTCCATAATAATCTGTTTACAATACTTAATTAGCTGTTCTCATGAAATGTTCATGGTACTGTCACTATACTAAGCTTACCAGTTCTCATGAAATGTTCATGGCTAGAGATATGAGTGTACAAAGAGCTTCACACAATCTTGGATATACATTACATTTGAAACTCTAGTTTTATTTCCTTTGTAATGTTTTTGAATTCTAAAACTACATTAAAATACCACTATATACGCACCAGGGTCACTAATCAACATTTTCCTATCAATAGGCTACCATTGTCTTAGAAAAAAAAAAAGAAAAAGTGCTTTTATGTCATTTTTCCTTGGAAAATAAAGATGATCTAATACCATAATGGATATTTTCTTTCTTTTCACATGTGACATAAGAGACAAAACGACTATCCTAAAAATGTGAAAATGTCCACACCCAACAAACGTGGTTCAAAATCATTAGTAGGCAACATATTAGAGAGAAAATGGGTAGATTACTTGAGTAATGTGGAAATACCAACTCCCTCCATGTTTTTGCATGGATTGCAAGCTTCCACGTTTGATAGCGAGAAAACCTCCTTAGCTTTCTTGATCATTAAATGTAAATTAATTGACCACCAACTTTCATTTATAATGAATAAAATTTTTGTAAACTTAAGTGAATATGTGCTCTTGACCACCAACTTTTTAATCCCTCAATCTTATTTTGATATTTGCGCTGCGCATCAAGATTACCTTTGAGATATGTTTCTTGATGTGTATATGTGTATCACAAAATTAGCTTCTATCAATGGATAGAAAAGTTTGTGGACAATCAGCTTCTATCAACTTAAAATTTACAGGGGTTTTTACTACATTTATAATTATATAGACAGTCATAATAACATTATTAAATATTTTGTTTTTGGGCGAGAGTCAAAAAGCAAATAATTAACTTTTTTTGGTGAGTGGGGCACCTTGACCTGCTTTTTCTAATTAAAAAACAGCCAAATAATGAGCTTTCATGACTTTACAATTTCATCATTCATATGCATAAGATGAACTCAAATGTGAAATCAAATTTTATATACACGGTGAAGTATATATTATATTATATATATGATATATATATATATATATATATTATATATATATAGTATATTATATATATATATTATATATATATATATATATATTATATATATATATATATATATATAAATAAAAGAACAAAGATAATTCACGACTTATTACAGAAAATTTGACAAGATCCCCTTTGACCACCAATTGTTTACAATTTCTTGATTATTGCTCCTAAAATTATCTTTTAAAAAACTATATTTATGTATTAAAAAATAATTATTTTGAGAAAAATCTAAAAAATTAGCCTGGTCATCCCCCCCCCCCCCCCCCCCCGCCCCCCCCGCCCCCCCCCCCCCCCTCCCCCCCCCCCCCCCACCCAACTCTTTGGTTGACTTAGTTTGACTGAACTGTTCAGTTCTTTTTTTTTGGAGTTTTTCTCTGTGTTTTCCAAAATCCCCCCCCTCTTTCAATGGAGAGGCTTATCTCTTCTCCTCCTTCCTCCTCCTCTTTCATTCCAAAACCTCGCTTGCTCTTCCCTCCCTCTCCCTTCCCTTCTTCAAGAAGACCCAATCTCTCTCCCCTCCCTTTCAAGCCCATCTCTGCTTCCCTCTCCTCCAAGCAAGAGGGCCCACCTCCAGTTTTCTTCTTACAGGAGAACAGATCCGGGGCTTACCCATGTGCCCAATTGGCCAAAGCAGCAGATTCTGCTGCTCCCTTAATTCAAAAGGTGCAAACTTGCTTCTTTACCTTTTTTTTTGTTGATTTGGTTGGATTTGGTGTTTTCTTGGGTTCTAGTGGCTTCTATGGTAGGAGTAGGACATGGGTTTTGGTTGTTAGTGCTGGGTTTTGATTTAGACGCAGGACTCAGAACTGGGATTTGATTATTTGGTCGGTAGAAAATACTACGGTTATGTTTGGGGTCAATTAGATTGCAGGGTTTAAGAGTAGTGAACTTATGTTTTTGTGACCGTGCTGTTGGAATGTAAACTTGATTAGCATTAATTGGTTTTTCCCCCCACATGTAGTAACAAGGAAGTTTATGGAGAATGAAGTGTCATAATTACAAATTCAAAGTTATGGTGATGAATGTGAGGCTATGAGGAAGAAAGATGAAGGTTGGTAATAGGGTAGATAAAAGGTCACTCAAGAGTTCTATATCAAGGACTTGCATTCTACACATTTCATGTATGGCCAAGAGCAAGAATAAAATTTTCGTAATATTTCCTCCTAGCTTATATTTCACCTTTCTCTATACTTTAGATCCTTCATATTCCGGTGTACAACATTCTGCCGTATCAAAGTATTTTGCCCATCGTGCAAGATCCTAGACATAGGGGTTATTCTTTGCTGTATTTCTAAATTCATATTCTAAGTATATTGTATCTTAGTTTAAAGAAAAATGCAAACCAAAGAAGAAAATGGAAAAAGGATAAGAACAATAGGCAGCCAATCAGTAGACAGCCCTCAATATCAACAAGAAGTATCATGAAGTGGCTGAAGCAGCGGATACACAAGTAAGAGGATGCTAGTTACCTAATTGGCACATTGGTAATGCAAAGAGAGCAAATTAGTATAAACATGAAGAAAATTCTTCAAATTCTTCAAGGATGAATATTGCGTTCGATTGTGGATTTGAGGAGGAGACTACATGATGGTCTGTCTGTGTATCTGAAAAGGAGACAACATAATCACATTTTAAGAATCAACACATAAAAACTATGGTTCATTTCCTTACCAGTCATCTTCCTCCTGAAAAGGAGACAACATAATCACATTTTAAGAATCAACACATAAAAACTATGGTTCATTTCCTTACCAGTCATCTTCCTCCTGAAAAGGAGACAACATAATCACATTTTAAGAATCAACACATAAAAACTATGGTTCATTTCCTTACCAGTCATCTTCCTCCTGAAAAGGAGACAACATAATCACATTTTAAGAATCAACACATAAAAACTATGGTTCATTTCCTTACCAGTCATCTTCCTCCTGAAAAGGAGACAACATAATCACATTTTAAGAATCAACACATAAAAACTATGGTTCATTTCCTTACCAGTCATCTTCCTCCTGAAAAGGAGACAACATAATCACATTTTAAGAATCAACACATAAAAACTATGGTTCATTTCCTTACCAGTCATCTTCCTCCTGAAAAGGAGACAACATAATCACATTTTAAGAATCAACACATAAAAACTATGGTTCATTTCCTTACCAGTCATCTTCCTCCTGAAAAGGAGACAACATAATCACATTTTAAGAATCAACACATAAAAACTATGGTTCATTTCCTTACCAGTCATCTTCCTCCTGAAAAGGAGACAACATAATCACATTTTAAGAATCAACACATAAAAACTATGGTTCATTTCCTTACCAGTCATCTTCCTCCTGAAAAGGAGACAACATAATCACATTTTAAGAATCAACACATAAAAACTATGGTTCATTTCCTTACCAGTCATCTTCCTCCTGAAAAGGAGACAACATAATCACATTTTAAGAATCAACACATAAAAACTATGGTTCATTTCCTTACCAGTCATCTTCCTCCTGAAAAGGAGACAACATAATCACATTTTAAGAATCAACACATAAAAACTATGGTTCATTTCCTTACCAGTCATCTTCCTCCTGAAAAGGAGACAACATAATCACATTTTAAGAATCAACACATAAAAACTATGGTTCATTTCCTTACCAGTCATCTTCCTCCTGAAAAGGAGACAACATAATCACATTTTAAGAATCAACACATAAAAACTATGGTTCATTTCCTTACCAGTCATCTTCCTCCTGTAGGGATTTGGAAAAGCGAGAATCTGGAAAGTTCACTCAAGTTTTTGGCTTTATTTTCCCCCCTATTGGTTGTGTTGTTTGATTTTGAAGAAAAATAACAAATATGTAAATATGCAACATTTTAACAGATGATGAACAAAGTGAAGAGTTGTCCGATTTTACCAATCTAGTGTCGATAATTTATGAGGCCATGACCAATAAGCGGCTAAATTCATAGCTTTCTTTGTCTAGATTAATTAGAGGAGAAATGCAAATTGAAATAACTGATACTGAGGACATTTGCCATGTTCTTTGTCAGATGCAATGACAACCTTTTTGCCTATGAGAGGAAGAATCAAAAGATGTGGAATTGATCACTTGGTAAGAGTAATATATGCATAACTATTAAGTTACCCTACAATTGCTCCGAAGTGCATTATGATCTGAAATATGGATGGATGAAGCCTATCCCTTTCACATCATTTACCATTCAAATTAGTGTCCTATTAACTCAATCTGCCCAAAAAGCATAATGCACCTCAAAATTTAATATCCTTCTTCATGCTACTTTGTGGTTCTCCTTATTGTAGATGCAATTTGGAACCGTTTGATATGTGAGACATACCATTTTTAGATTCATTATATGTACTATGTTGCTATTAATCCTCCAAAGTGCATAATACACATATCTATAGCTTGAATTAGGTTTGATGCTGATATATACAACATGTGTGAAATTTCCAGGTTGCTACTTCTGCTGTATTTGTTCTCCTTTCAGCACTACTTGTGACAGCAATACAGCCGATTTTAGTCCAACCAGCATATGCAACGACAATCCAAGCTGCAACCAGCACTGGTGGAAAACTAATTAAATCTGAGTTACTAAGCAGTGCCTGGACTGGTTTTTTCGCCGGTTGTCTCCACACATTATCGGGCCCGGATCATCTTGCCGCCCTCGCTCCTTTATCCATCGGCCGAACAAGGGTAGAGAGTGCTGTCGTCGGAGCCCTTTGGGGTTGTGGCCACGATGCAGGCCAAGTGATTTTTGGACTTCTATTCTTGCTATTAAAAGATAGTCTACACATTGAAGTCATTAGAACTTGGGGAACGAGGGTTGTTGGTTTAACTCTACTTGTAATTGGAGCCATGGGGATTAAAGAAGCTTCAGAGGTTCCTACTCCTTGTGTTGCTTTAGAGAATGGGGAATGTGATGCGAGCATAGATGAGCCTTTAACTTATGTGCCAAGTGGAAAGAAAAAGATTGGGTTCGCAACTTTTGCGACGGGCATTGTGCACGGTCTTCAGCCTGATGCCCTTATGATGGTTTTGCCGGCGCTCGCCCTACCTTCGCGCTTAGCTGGTGCTGCTTTCTTAGGTATGTTTCTTGTTGGTACTGTTCTTGCTATGGGAAGTTATACGGTTTTTATAGGTTCTTGTAGCCAAGCTTTGAAAGAAAGAGTTCCTAGGATAACAGAAAAGCTGACATGGGCTGCTTCAATTTTAGCGATTTCCATGGGAGTGGCCATTCTTATTAGCCAATTCTTTGGTTTTAGCTTGTATTGATTTGAAATCTAATTGTCATTCTTTTCTTGTCCTATGAGATTCACAAAATTCTCCATGAAGAGTTCTTAGTAAAATTCTCCATGAAGAGTTCTTAGCTCTTTACATACGATAGAATAGTGCCTTCCTTTTTTCTCAAACGCAAGAACTATGTTAAAGTCATTTATGCTGTACTGCCTTTGATATCACAGAATTTGGCATTGTATATGAATTTGGCGTCTAACGATACGACTTGGCTTTGAATTTTCATGAGTAAATTATGGAATAGCTTGCCCATTTTGTTTGAAATTCACTATGTAGATTATTCTGTCTGTATGGTTTGAATGTATCATTTTCAATAATCATATATCTCATGCATTTTAACTCATTTAGGAATTATCGTTTAGCCCCTACGTGGAGCTGGAGAAAACAATACCATACGACTAAACTGAAGAACTTTCTGGATGCAATATTCATCTTGATCTCCGTATCTTGAAAAGATACATAGATAAGAAATCACATGTTTGAACAATTTTCCTGTTAATCAGATGACTCATTATAAACCTAAATAGTTTCATACTAAGAGAACCACCTGTACCATTTCATTTGATAATAACATGCGGAGAGAAGACTTAAGGTAGGTCAGTGTTCTCACTAAGAAAAATCTGATTGGGAAGAGAAAAATGCTGATTTGCATCAATACACAAATTTTGACTATGAAGCTAGTCCTGAAAAATGAAAAAGGTCGAGTCCACAGAGTACATAAGAAGTGCATTTGTTGCTATTCCTATGTGGAGAATAATTTAGAAAATGATGTATAATTAACGTTCGTCAACTGGATACACTATATTCCAACTTATGACTTGAATTAATGAGTGCCTAATTGCAAATATCAAACTAGGATTTGCAGACTATGAAGCACGGACACGGGCACGGCGACACGGACACGGACACGGATACGGCAAAACCCCAAAAAATAGGATACGGCGACACGGCTAAATTTTTAATTTTCACTACTTTCATCTTGAGCATATAAAAATAAAGAGAATAAAGTTCAAGTTGCAACTAGTTCAATGACTACAAAATACTAAGTTACTAACATTGCAAAAATATAAAAATTACACTCAAAAGCATATCTTAAAATAAAGTTTTCAAGTTAAAACATCAAAAAGATTATTCTATGGATTCAACTCTTTCATCCTCATCAAACACAATGGCCTCCATCGTGGGCTCGTCAAGAGAAAGGGCAGCAACATCTAACATGCCGGCTCCTTGAAATGAGTCGAAGGCATCTCCACCAATATCCCACATTCTTGATTCCCCTTCCATATACTCTTCCGAATTCCGAGAAAGTAAACGAAGGTTGGTGTGAACATAAACAAAATCCTCCGCCCGTGTCGGGGTTAGCTTGTTCCTCTTTAAGGAGTGAATGAAATCATACGTACTCCAATTCCGTTCACAACAAGAAGAGGAACAAGGTTGGCCTAGAAGCTTTATGGCCAATGCTTGCAACTTTGGAGCACTTGCACCATAAAGAAGCCACCATGACTTTGGATCCATATGTCCTCTATCGGAAAGAGAATCCGGATCACCAAAAGCCTCCAAAGACCCCACAAACTTAGCATATTCCAAGTTCACCACCAATCGTTCATCGGGGTTAGGATAATATCTTCTTAAGCACTTTGATCTTTCTGTAGAGATCTCAAGATCTTGATTTGGAGGTTGCCGATTGACGTTCTCATTGAGCCATGTGGAATGATAGTACCTATGTTTGTGAGAAGAAATTCATGTATTAAAATTAATTGAAATATTCGCATTAAAGAGTAAAATGTGAAATATTACATTGGAACTAAAGAGTGTGCCAAGCACTGAAGCGGGGTGTTGCCCTTGTTCCATTGATCCACCAAGATCTTGTGAACCACCTCATAAAAAGGAGATTCCTCGTTATCCCTTTTACCCTCATGCCTGTAAATAGCTTGCTTCACCTTCTCAATCATTGTATCCCACATATCATACACCAAATGAAGACATGGTGTATCGGTGTCGGTGACCCTTATCATTTCATAGATTGGGCCGGTGAAGTCAAGAATAAAATCTATCTTGTCCCACCACAAATCATCGAGGACTTTCTCTTTCACAAATTGAGCTTTCTCCACATCATCGTCTCTATATAAGCTCCATCGATCACTAAGGACCATGTCTTGGAGGCCTCTCTTGACGACCTTAAACCTCTTCAACATAATAATCCACGAGGCAAATCTTGTGTCGGCAATTGATAGGAGCTTCATCTTGGAAAAATCATTGAATATGGAAAGCCGCATAGAGTGGTTCATGATAAAATTCTTCATAAACAATGCATCATCGGAGATCTTTGTAATCCAATGTAATTGTGCATAAGCCACAGCATTTGCTTCCGTGTTCTTAGCCGCACAAATATTATTGACAGCAAGATTGAGTGTATGGACTACACAAGGAGTCCAAAATATGTGAGGCCAAGTTTGCTCCACAAGCCCTCCCGCGGCCTTGCATGCCGAAGCATTATCGGTTATGATTTGGATGATATTTTTCGGTATCACCTCTGTGATGCACTTTTCTAGCTGTGTTTGGATAAAATACTTATTCTTGACTTCTCCGTCGGCATTTACGGCATTCAAGAACATTGGCTTACCCTCACATACTGCCATAAAATTGATGATGGGCCTCCTTTGTGCATCCACCCACCCATCACTACAAATGGAGACTCCCTTCTGTTGCCATGTGCCCCTGATGGGCTCCATCAATCTCTCTACGTGAGTTTTCTCACGTTGTAAGATAGTGGTCCTCATGGAATTGTAACCAGGAGGCTTGTAACCAGAAATTGGATTGTTTGCGACATATGCAAAAGCTTTGGCATAATATGGATTCCTTGTCAAGTTGAAGGACAATCCCCCGGTGAAGAACATCCTACCAATCAATGCATCCAATTCCTCCCTTGCTCCCATGTTGAATGCTTGTTCCACGGTATTAGGCCCCCTCCTCTTAAATCCACCTGCATCAATCATCATGCTTGCACTTGCACCTATACCGGCCGTACTTGCAGTCGAAGATGTAGGCAAAACTGACATCTTAGGCCTAGAAGCCATCAACCTCGCCTCTGCTTGATCCAACGTCCTTTGAAACTCCCTTAAATTTTCAGGGGTTAACTTGGAACACATCTTAATTCTAGTCCCGCTTATCCTCAAGAGGTGATTTTTAACTCTTGAGTGTGAACCGGTAAAATCCTCTCTGCAATAGTTACATCTCCATCTCCAATTTCCTCCCGCCGTTCCCCCCCTTTTCTCCAATTTGGTAACATATTTTCAAAGCGGACATTTGTCATCTTGTACTCCACTGCTACTAGAACCCCCTTCTTGTTCCATTTCGGTAAAATACAAAAGCAATAACAATAAATTAAAATCAGATCTAGTAAAACAGTAACAAAAAATTATTGTCCTAATTAACACCTAACTGTTTTACCCTAATTAACAAGCAACAGCAAAGCAGTAAGCATAAATCACTGTACTAGTTAACTTCTAACAGTAAGACAGTAACCAGAAATCACCGAAATCAGCATATTAATTAACCCAACAGCAGCACAGTAACCATTGCCAGTATTTAAATTAACCCAACAGTAGCATATTAATTAATCCCCAACAGTAACACAATAGCAAAAAAAAAATTAAAACAGCGTGGTGGGGGGCAGCGTCACTTTGGAAGTAGTGGGGGTCACGTGGGATCTCTGAGAGAGAGTGGGAGAGAATAGTAGGTTGTCGGGTGAGTGGGGATTGAGTGGGGTTTTTTTTATGTAAAGGAAGTTCACGGGGGCTCTTGTGTGGTGAGAGGGAGATAAAAGAGAGAGAAGGAGAGAGGGCGAGAAAGAGCTGAGAGAGAGAAAGAGAGAATCAGAAAGAGAGATGAGAGAGATCGATCAGGGGGAGAGAGAGAGAGCGACTGAGAGAGAGAGAGAGAGAGAGCGAGAGCGACTGACCTTGGATGATCGACGACGACGACGAAGCTGACGGGGATGATCGACGACGAGGAGGAGGACGGGACTGAGAGCTGACGACGAGGACGAGACGAGGACGAGGACGAGGACGAACTATTGATCGCGGGTAAGTTTTGATTTCTGACGAGTGACGACTAGGGTTAGGGTTTTTGGTTTCTTTAACTTTGAAATTGGGTTTCGGGTTTGGGTTTCGGGTTTGGATTTCGGTTCTGGGTTTTGCCGTGTCGGGAATGGAATCGCCGTGTCCGACTGAAGTCTAAGCAGTAAGCATAAATCACTGTACTAGTTAACTTCTAACAGTAAGACAGTAACCAGAAATCACCGAAATCAGCATATTAATTAACCCAACAGCAGCACAGTAACCATTGCCAGTATTTAAATTAACCCAACAGTAGCATATTAATTAATCCCCAACAGTAACACAATAGCAAAAAAAAAATTAAAACAGCGTGGTGGGGGGCAGCGTCACTTTGGAAGTAGTGGGGGTCACGTGGGATCTCTGAGAGAGAGTGGGAGAGAATAGTAGGTTGTCGGGTGAGTGGGGATTGAGTGGGGTTTTTTTTATGTAAAGGAAGTTCACGGGGGCTCTTGTGTGGTGAGAGGGAGATAAAAGAGAGAGAAGGAGAGAGGGCGAGAAAGAGCTGAGAGAGAGAAAGAGAGAATCAGAAAGAGAGATGAGAGAGATCGATCAGGGGGAGGGGGGGAGAGAGAGAGAGCGAGAGAGAGAGAGAGAGCGAGAGCGACTGACCTTGGATGATCGACGACGACGACGAAGCTGACGGGGATGATCGACGACGAGGAGGAGGACGAGACTGAGAGCTGACGACGAGGACGAAACGAGGACGAGGACGAGGACGAGGACGAGGACGAACTATTGATCGCGGGTAAGTTTTGATTTTTGACGAGTGACGGCTAGGGTTAGGGTTTTTGGTTTCTTTAACTTTGAAATTGAGTTTCGGGTTTGGGTTTCGGGTTTGGATTTCGGGTCTGGGTTTTGCCGTGTCGGGAATGGAATCGCCGTGTCCGACCCGTGTCTGCGGCGAGTCGAGCCGTTGACCCGTGTCGCCGCCGTTGACCGCGTGTCCGACGCGTGTCGAACGCGTGTTGAACGCGTGTCCGCGTCCGACGCGCGTCGGAGACGGACTCGCCGGCTGTTTTGAAGAGTCGGTGCTTCTTAGTTTGCAGATACCAGACACCAATTTCTTTGGTAGGTGAAGTGTTGCATATAGGTTTTGTGTTCTAGTCTAGATATCATATAGTCACTGAACCTACTATTCTTATGGATCTAAGATTGTGCATCGAAATACTAGTGATCCCCTTTAAAAAGGTTTCTGGTGTGATGTTAGCTAACTTCAACTGGAATCAGGGTTGTCTCAAAAGAACGTTTGAACAATCAAAGAACCATTACCAAATAATGCTAAATTTATTATGGATTCATGATATTCTTTTTTATTCGCACTCTCCAAGTAAATGAAATTTAAACCAGCTTGGGTTGTCGAGTTGTCTAATACAGTTGGTGAAAAGAGGATTCAAAGGTAAGATAGTTCTTGATTCTCTTCTCAATGAGTCCTGCCCCTTAATAGCTTAATTAAGAATACCACTTTCATATGCATGAGTTTACAAGTAATGACCCTAATGAGTAGGGGTGCTAAATCGTATCTGTATCTGAGGAAATATCTTTATCCATGTTCGTTAGATACGGATATGGTTACTCAAATCTATAACCAATATAATAAGATTATAGATGTGGTTTTGTAGTGAAATATCCGGATCCATATCTGAAATATCCGAATGCATATTAGTCATAGTGTTACAATAGTTTTAATCCTTAGATTGTGGATTTGAAGATAATTTTAATGATCTTCTTTTAAGCTATAATGAACATATTAATGAACTCTTTTGTATCTATATTTTTTCAACTATTATCTAGTTTTCTCTTATCTGTTTTGTATCTGCATGCATATCCGCCTATATAAATTTGTATTCGTATCCGATTTTAGTGGATATGTATATGAATTTTCCTTATCGAGGTATATCCTTATTCGTATCCATGATGGGTAAGTGGATACGGATAAGGTCAGTATCATATCCTAGCAGTATCCGGACTGAATGTGCCCCAACTAATGAGTGTTCAGGCTCGTATTTAGATTTAGTGTACCCCTGATTGAGCTTTGCTTGTTTATTGCTTGAGTTTCACGAACATTTTGTCTGGTTTAGTTACATCTTAGCATTCACTTCTGCCTCATAATTTAGGGTACTAATTTGCAAAGGTTATCGATCATATCTGAATATCTTGAATAATTTTTCGCATTGGAACATATTTATCTAAGCCTTTCAGTAAGCAAAACATTTCAGTTGTTGCCCGCAGTAAAATTTTTCCTGTACGTGTGAATTTTCTGTAAATGTTGTTTCTACGTTGAGTGTGATGTATTTGGATCACTATATGGTCACATTCTATAAAGAAAATATGTTTTTTGTGTGGTATGGTTGAAGTAAGCCGCTATGTTTAATTTGTTAATCATATTGCTGCTCTTCTGATGGTTAAAGTAAACAGTGTGGCTTGCCCTTTGATTGATTGATTGTTGTTGTGAAAGTGTCACGGGCTGATTCTTTCACCACAAACCTCACTCGAACCCGTGCGGCACTTAGTCACTCTTTCTCTCACTAGAATGGCTAAGTCAGCCTAATCCCTCAAACACTCACTCAAGAGAAAGGATGAGAACACTCAAGAGTGGAAATGGAAGCTCTTATTGCTTTATTGCTTAGCAACTCTTGCTTGATACAAATGAAATGCATTAGCCCCTATTTATAGGCAAGGCTAGCTTACAATGGATGGCTATGATTAGCCTTCAAGATTGTTCTTACAATCAATGGTTAAGATTGAGTCTCTAGACTCTTCTCCTAAAATATCTTCTTAGATATTTACATGACTTTCTAAAAGCTTTTACAAGGGTCCTTAGATATTTTAATGAGACTTCCTAGAAGCTTCTAGATACAAGATATTTATCATACCTTTATTATCCAAGAAAACTCTAGAAAACCCTATGATCTTCATGGACCCAACCATGAATAAGTGAGTCCAAACGCACCCAATTGAGCCAAAAATGGGGCGATTCGTGACAAGAGCAGCAAGCTCTTCTGGTTTGTCTGTAGACTGTAGCCTTTGTTTTTGTCACCAAACTGAAGTTAAATATTTCTTCCCAAAATGGGAAGCTCCGGGAAACGCATTAAAAATATAAGAAGTTAATGATCAGCGCGCATCAAAAGATGGAAAAGTTTCTGAAATCGCCCTGCCCAATTTAACGCAACAATCTTCGTAAACAATTGTTTTGAAAAATTACATTTCCTGAAACATGTTTGAGATGGTACATAATCTTGATGAAGACAAATTTTAATAGAAGGGAAATAATGATGCATGGACATACAAGCTCACAACGCAAGAAAATCAAGGTAATATGCCAGAATCTAGATCAGTAAGTGAATGTATTTTTCATACAAGTAGTCTACGAGTATCTTGTACGTCTTCTCTGTAGGGTGATAACTATCCCAAAATACGTACTTTGAAACATCCGGGCATACCGATGCAGTGACACTATTGCACAATATCGCAACCTCCAGTTTCCCAGTACCGCAACATCCTCTCGACGAAACCTCAAACCCTGGCATAACATTGACTTGATCATGCATCTTGTTCTGTCGAAATCAACGTTTCAGAATTTTCATCAGATCGAAAGATACGACTTACCGTAAGTATTTGGGCGTTGAATAATGTCATATAAGATGCCATAGATGTCAGCTAAGACCAGGAGCCTCCCTGGGTATTTGGCTTTCACTCTCTGCAGCTCCACATCGAACCTTGAATTGAACAAAGTTGCTAATTGATTTTGAGGAGTCGCACAACCTCTTAAGATCCCCCCACTTAGGGTTCTTTGTGAGGGCACGCATCCAATTGGTGGAATTCCCACAACTCCAATCTTTTGAGCACCTAATTGAATAAGTTCCTGAGTGGAAAAAAAGAAAAAAAAATTATTAACAAGATTTGGCTCCATAAATAAGATTTTAAGTTAATTGATGCACATTTTGTCAAACGTACATAATGGAGATTGAGGTGTCTGTAAAGTATATTTTCATCAACTTTTTTTTTAATTACTTGTTGTGTATATAAATCAACTAAGTTATAAGAATATATATTTATCCTCTAAGGTAAGGGTTTAAGGAAGGATGGCAGCTGACAACTTTTTGAATAGCTGGTTAAAGAACGGATATGAATATAAAACTATAATTCTCAATCTTCATCACGGTTTTATAGATTCGATGCAACAAATGAGTTCAAATACAAACTATACCATTGAATTTGGATCCTTCACTACCTAAAAAGTAGTGAAGAGACGACTACACTATTAGTAGCAACCGATGTATTCTTAGTGAGTAGTTGTGATTTGTCTTTGAGTAGTTCATAGCGGGTACGATGAAGGTTAGATTAGAATGAATCGTAATCATAGACAAACAAATAGTTGATAACAAGGTAGTAGTCCATACACTATCCTAGTTTTAATTTGTACCCCCCCCACCCCCCCAAAGCTGTGACAATACCAAAATTGACCAAGCCATTGCCCATGCCAAGAGGGAGGGGGGAGTCATGTCATCATTATCATTTACGCACCTGAATGTACGAGCGATGCGTGTGGTCCAAATCGCTTAAAGAGCCAGTTGTATTGATTTCGTTAGGTGTACGTAGACTTCTGTATTAAATGGTAGGTGCACAAAGTTTCAAAAATTTATTGATCCGCTATTTTTTTAAATGAGATTGCCGTACACTTTCTCTCATGAGTTTAAAATCTCATTACTGTTTTTTTTTATTGCCATTCCTTTGCGAGGGAGATTTTGTCTCTTTTAATATATTACTATTAATTGCAATGTGTTGCGTATTTATGGAGGGTTGGAATTTTGAAAGATCTTGCCTCTGGATGCAATTAGTTTGGCTGTCCGGGGGGGTGAAAGCGTAAAAAAAAGTTAACCCCGAGGGTCTATCTACATGATCAAAGGTACAGTAAGTTCAAAACAACATTACTAACGGGAGTCCATGAGCAGTTTAACATAAAAAATAAAAAGTAAATCGGGACCAGCGTCTCCCTCCCTCCGATTACTTACTTGATCCGTTGACATCAACCTATCGAGATTATATCCATCCGTTTAAATATGTGTCACTTCAGCAACACACTTGACCAGTTTGCTAAAAATTACGTTGAACATTTTGTGTTTTCTCATGTACTAAAAGTAATTAAACGCACGAGAAGAAGAAGAAAACGAAAGATCACCTGTACAAAATCCGAAGCGTACCCTACGAGCAAATTTGCATACGAGGGTATATCATACATCGTCTTCCTGAGGGGCGTAGGAAAATACGTATTCGCCACGTCGTCGCTCCCCACGCATACGACGTACAGACTCTCGGCGAAGATGGTGGCTGCCCTCTCGTCTCCGGCGATCGCTCTCACCTTCTCTCTGTACTCTTTGAATAGCACTAGTTGTTGAGGGAGTGATATCACCGACTGAAAACGAACGGTTAATAGAAGTTGAAGGTAGCTAGTCTTGTCTAATTAAGTTGATGATGACGGGATTTGGATCCTCTTTATTGCCTAACTAACAGCATTATTATTTTAGGTAAAAAGTGAAATAAGAAATAAAAAATAAAAATAAGCCATGGAAGATTCAGTCAGCATCACTTTGGAGCATAAATTACAAGAAATTCTCTTCGTCTATATTTTCTTTTCTAAAAGTCCTGTTTCTAGTAGTGATTGTTGATTTATAACAATTTTTTTGTTCGTGGACAAGCATTTGCATTTGAATTTAGAATCTACTCATAACGAAGCCATCATACTACTGTTTTCAGGTAAAATTTTGGTGATTTAATTAACCAAGGTTTTTTTATTGTTATTGTTATAAAAGTTTTGCTCATCTGAGATGAACGGGGGAAATCAAGAGCTCTAAGAGCGCTGGTGAAAACATAAGAACGTAGTTTTTGAACAAATGAAAAACATTAGGGGTGTGTTTTTTTTTAACGAATGCCTCCGTCGAAGTGCAAACATTTGTCTAGCTAGGCGTCTGAAAAACATAGATTTTCTCAGATGACTTAGAATGAATCATAATCATCCACTAAATAAAAGACGATAGTGACTAGAGACCGTCACGTTTTTGACAGTAAAAGAGGGTCGTGATCCTTGATGATGAACCGAAAAGCATTGCAGGCTAGTTTTAATACCGCAACTTTTGAAGTGAGAGGATCGTATCCAGAGCCACCGGAGGCGAAGCTTACGCCTGTTATTAGGTCTTCAGGGGAGAGATTAGTGTCAACATAAGCTGGCAAGTACTCCTTAATCCCAAGCTTAGAAGCTGCAATACATTATGAGAAAAGGAAGAAAAAAAAACACTACGTAATTAGTTGATGGATTTTTCATACACTTTGTGTAGAATTTGAAAGTGCACACTTAATGTATAATTTGAAAGGACGTGTACTTCTTGAGATTAAAATATTCGTCTGGTAAAGGAAATAACGCTTCATTATGAACCATTAATGGAAAAAGGACGGAATAACCTTAACTTTTTTACCACAGTAAAAAAAAGTCAGATAGGCAATTAAGCAATTCAAGAGGGAGAACAAAAATTAGAGTGCGCGCGCACATTAGTGCTGGTGAAATCAAAGTCTAATTAAGAGACAATTATGAGTTTATTTTGAGCGTAAAGCGTGTCGGAATGCAATTGACGGAGAGCTATAATGATACATCGTAAAATGGAGTAGATGTCCGAATTTGAAATAAAATGCTCAAAACAAGCGAAAATATCCATACCAAAATGAACTGTATCAACGATCAGAAAGTTTTTTTAAAAAAGGAAAATATCAACCCTAAAAGTTAACATATGTGTATATTAATTACTATATATGAAATTAAGCTACAAGTTAATTTGGAGGGAAAAATAAAACTCAAATTAACAAGCTATGTATGTATAGAACTCTATATATATGACATATGCAGATATATATACCAATAAAATCAGTGGGGATTTTTCCATTGCAAAACCTCCCCGTTGGCTTGGCACCAGTGAAATTCAAACCGTAAGGAGGAAAATTGCATTTGATGACAGTCTTTATGTCGTTGTTATTTCCCGGGTCCATGATCGAGTCTCCGAACACGATCACCGCAGGCACGAGAGGTCCATGGTTGCTTGAAGGAATATCCTGAGCCTCAAGCTTAGAAAGGATCATGAAGAAGAAGATGGAGGCTACGAGGGAAATGAACAACCTCATTTTTTTGGAGTATGAGGTTTTACTTGTTTTGGATATAGGACTAGGGCTTATTCCCTTCTATAAACAAAAGCTAAACCCTACCCTTTTATAAACAAGAGTTCAGAAAAAGTTAGGGGTGTGTAATGCGTGGGGTGGGGTGGGGTGGGGTGGGGTGGTGGGGGGGGGGGCGTACAGTAGTAGTTCATTTACTACTGAACAAATATTTTTTAGTATTCGAGTTTACTAACGAATAGAATTTAACCAGATGTATATTTGATTTGTTTGTATATTAAATATTCGTTTAAAATTTAATCACACCTTATTATTTGTATTATTGCACATATGATGTCATATTTTTAATTCAATTACCATTTCTACTTAACTTTTATATGCTGATTTTAAGACTTAAATAATCTTAAATCTATTTTCTAATTAAAATTTTGATTTAAATATATATATACATCATATATTAAAAAGGAATAATTTTTATTTACGAATTTTAATATTATTTGAAAATCAAAAAATTTTCTGAACTTTTGTTTATAAGGGAGCAAAATTAAAAAAAAAAGGTCAGGAATGGTGTATACTTTGTAGGACTAAACTGCAAGTAACCCAAAATAATATTTGGGGTGAAAATGAACCAAATATTTAACAAATAGTTCGATAATTGTTCGAGTAACTATTCGCTCATATTCGATTCGGTAGTTCATTTACCACTAAACAAATATTTTTTTAATATTATAGTTTACTAACGAATAGAATTTAACCAGATGTATACTCATTTATCTATTTTCTAATAATTTTTTTATTTAAATATACATACATTATATATTATAAAGGAATAATTTTTATATATGAATTTAAATACCATTTAAAAATCAAATTCTTTAATAAGCGGAATAAATATACTTTGATATTCAAAAAGTATTCGTGAATATTCATGAATATTTATCAAATACCAAGTATTCGAGTTCAAATTCGAAAAACTAGAATATTGGAGTCCGCATTCGAATTCGATAATTTTAAACAAATACAAATGCGAACACATTAACATTCGATTCAATTCGATCATTAACCACCCCTAGTATAAAGGTCACCCTTTAGAAAATCATAAAGGGAATTAACAAGGAGATCAGGACATATGTGATGTATACAGTGGCGCAGCCCGTGGGC